ACTTCATCCTGGCCCATAGTCTCTCTGGGAAGATCCACACCTAAACCTGAGACTTCCCATCTGTGTGGTGATGCAGGTGCTGCCACTAAATCTATGAATTTCCAAGTATTTCCCTAATGCCAGAACCTTCAGAAATAGACATTCACATTCACACATGGTTGCTTTTGGAGTGGAATGGAGACTTATTCCCCACACCCGCACACACACATAGCTGTGACCTTTCTCAGATTGTTTCTCATTTGTTTTATAGGAATGAACATTAAGGTCAGGTGGCCTTAAGAAAGTGGTCTGATGGCTTGTCAATTTTGGGAAATTAAAATTGAAGTTTTGTATTTGCTGTAGAAAAAAGGAGCAACGGATGCACTTTCAGAATGGACATGATTTGCAGAGCTAAATATCTCTTCCCTACCTCCTGTGACTAGATTGAAACAGACCATAACATGTGGTTCTCTGTATCTAGTGTTGTGGTAGTGATACTAGAGTACATTTGCCACTTCCCCTTGAAGTTTTGGTTGTAGAAATTTAAACAGTGATGACTTGGGAAAGTAGATTATTATCCAAGGCAGTACTTGTGGAAAAATTTGAAATTTCAAAATGGAAAACATCTCCCACCAAGGAACCAGTATCAAAAGTTGGAAGGATTCTTCTGAATGTCATTGGGACATCCTAGCATTTTTTTGTAGGTCATACTAACAAACTTGTAGATTCTGCTAAAGCCAGCCCCAAGGACATTTTGGCTTTCAAACTTGACTACTCTCTACAGACAGCCTTTCTTTACTGACACTTTAGTTTTCTAGCCTTTGTTCTTATGGATTTCTGGTGAAGGAAGTTAGTGTTTTTCTGGAGTGCCTCTCTTGCCATCAGTTCAGACACAATGAATGTCCATTTAGTATGGACAATGCATTGTGCATTGTGGAGGCCGGAAGTGTTGATATTAAGTTTCTAATCTTTTTTCTGTGTTTAGTGATGTATCCTTTTTATATCCTTATATGCAGAAATCTAAAGAAGTATGTGACTCAATTTTGGTCATAGTGTTGAACATGTATTACCCTCACTGCCCCTTCCCTTCAACAAATTGGAGAGCAGCTGGTCAAAGACTATGACAGCCACAGAGAGACAGCCTGATCACACCTGTGCCCCAGGAGTAAATTTTCACCATAGCTTCCCCATTAACCTCAGTGTAGCTCCCTGGGCAGTCTCTATCCATAGCTGCCTTAAGACAATTGCTACCTTCATGAGTAGCTGAAAGAGGTCTCTGTGAGCCTAAGAATAAGCATTTAAGTGCCCTTTTCATTTTTTATTTCTCTGTTGGTATCCGGATAACTTTGGTGTTAATAAGATATTCAGAGAACAAATGAAATCTATGTCAATGTTAGATGTCTTGTTTCAGTGTGCTGTTATTTCTCTTATGTTAATCAAGTCAGAGAAGTAGTGAGTTAAATCAACTTGACAATAGATTCCTTTTCAACCGAATAAAAGGAAATGTGCAATTCATTCCTATGTCACCAAATTTATACTGAACTCATTTATCATACCACAAACTATTTTTAAGAAATTAATAATTTCAAGTAATGGCACAGATTAGCCTTTCTCATTTCCTCAGGTCTTCTTGACTTCTGAATGCCTTTTAAAATGTTTACACACTCAGTGTAAGAAAATGGATGAAGCATTACCAAAATAATAAGTGCAAAAACCTTTTTAATCCCATTAAAGATTTGCTGGAAAACCCATGTAAAAAGGCACAGACTCAGTTACAGACCAAAAATGAGAGTAGACTCCCCTTCTCTTTCATTGGACAGCAAAAAGGATGGAATTATGGCTGCTGTGGTGAGCCTGTCTTGGCTAAGAAGCAGGAAGTCTCTGATGAGGACTAATGAAGGATTTAGGAAAACTGATGGCTGAGAACCATGGCTTGTCTGTTAAGGAATCACATTCTAGACTAGAGATCTAATACTAACAAATACCTGTGATACAGCAATCTTGCTGACCTGAAACCCCAGGATTCTCAGTCTCAGCCTGACCATCCAAGCTAGTATGTCCTCCAACCCAGCATCGAGGACGTGTTGATGACATAAAGAAAAGTTATGAGAGGTGTTTTTTTTGCATACTGGGATTTGAACTTGTGGCCTCAGGAACTAATAATCCAGGCTAACTTTAAAACTGTAATCACCCTGATCTCTGCCTCCTGAGTACCTACTGTTAACAGGAAAAAAGGCATGCTGGACTGAAATGTATGCGGAGATAGATGAGGAAACAGAGACGCTAGATTGAAAGAAGCACAGGGATGGCTCAATACCTCAGCACATGAATTTTTTGGGAGAATTCTTTGGAGGCAGATCCCAGCAAGAGAGCAGAAGCCCACAACTGCTTGCAGATTTGAGACAGATATAGACAGTTAGTAGGAGAAGTCCAAGGAAAAAGGAAGTCCCAGGTTGAGCTCCCAGGAAGGTCAATGGACAGGAATATCCTCCCTCAGCCCTCTGCCACTCCTGAGATAATGGTGTCTTTCTTTGAGGCTGGGTGGGAAACTTCTAGTAATTGGCTAAAGGTCTGTACCTGTTATTCTTTAGGGATGAGTTTAGAGTTTTCAGTAAGCCAAATGTGATGAGGAAGGGCCCAATCCTCAGGTGGCTGCCCAATACTTACCTTAATAATAAGAATTGCAAGCTTGAACCACCAGCATCTAGCTCACACTATGAGAGTTAATCACACACAGAACAGTTTTCCAGGCATGACCATCCCCATCTGTACAGACCACAATAAAAGCTTGAGTTCTCAGGACACCCAGTGCAATATTCCAATTTAGTCTTCCCACCCTCTTCCTAGAGGTTGGATCTTTGATTTGTTTTTTCATTACATAAACAAACTTGCCCAAATCTCATATCAGATCAGTACGACTACCCTGTGTTCAGTTGCCCAGTTCTTCCCACGTAAAACTCTTGCTTATCCTATTTTCTTTTCTTGATGAATTCTTTTACCCAGATGTGGCATCAAATATCCCTATCACTATCCTTATACGCCCTGTATCTTGTGTAGAAGTGTAACCACATGTGCTGTTTGCTGTTATTCTTCCATATTCCTCTTAGCAGTTTCTGAGGGCATTTTAATTTAGGTACCTTTGTTGTCCTATTTCTTGTGTTTGCCTATCAGAGGTAAGGGGTGATTTGTATGCATAACTAACTGTGTTTACTCTGAGTTGTCCTGATTCTCAGCTATGTTTACAATTCTCTACTTCCAGGCACACATTGTAAAGGATGTAACAAAATCCACTTTACAAAGTACACTAGGTAGAATAAATGCCTTAAGGGATTTGAATTCAGTGGAAAAATAAGGAAATCACCAGACCTTGGCACCAACAGCTCACACCTTAATCCTAGATGGAGAAGGAGCATTATGTCTTGAAGCTGGCTTGGGCAAATACTTTGAGGGACTTTTTCTTAAAAATAGTTAACACACACACAAAGTCTGCTGGGATGGCTCATATGGTTCACTATCTGTGCCCCAACAAGAAGGTCTGAGTTCAGCAAAGGTCAGGGCCAGCAAAAACAAACAAACAAACAAGAATGGAAGAAATGAATCCCTTAGTCACAAAAGAAGACCCAAATTGTACTTCTACCAGGATTATGGACTAAAGTTTACACAGGTCTAAACAGCAATAATCTTGAAAAAATAATGAAACAAGAAAGGGTAAGAGAAAGAAAAGAATACAAAGTGAGCTATCATCTTATATTAATAAGCAATCTTGTAATACTATTAAACATGCCATATAATAATAAAGAAATTAACAAATAGATCTCAGTGGAAAACAAATAAGTCTTCACTGTATTTAAATGTAAAGAGAAAATTGGCTCTTGAGAGAACAGGTATCACACAATGATGGCCAAAACAACAAACATCTAAAAGCGAGAAAAGGACAAGTCCAGTTTCTACTTGAAAAAATGCTTTCTATTCACGTTTATGTATTGGACAATATGCAAATTGCAATGGCAAACAAGAAAGATAAAATCTGAACACTTTCACAAGTATCATTTCACATGTTTCATAACCCAGCATTTGGAAAACAGATGTTGGAACATCCTAAATTCAAAAGTTCTATGATACATATCCAGTTATAGAAGTCCTTCTCAATGTAAAGTCACAATAAAAAAAACATACAAAGGGCTGGCAAAGGGGCTGAAGTGACAGAAAACCTGCCTAGCAAGCATGAGGCCCTGAGACCAAATTCCAGTCCCACAGAAAAGAAATACTCAAGCCACTCCTTCCACCAATTAAGCAAGTATATTGCTGTGGCTGTCATTATAGGCTGGCAGCAAATAAGAAGCATAAAGACTGTTTCTTGAGAAAAACTTTAGATATACATATCCCACAGATCTCTAAGAATATTTAAGCCAATTGCCAGTGGCTTGGGCCTATAATCCTAGTACATGAGAGTATGACAGGAGGATCATGGTTGGAGGTCAGCCTGTGCAAACAGTTCACAGACCCTAGCACTGACATAACTAGGAGAAAATGGACTGGAGGCTTGGAGGAGAGTTCCTTCCCTGCCAGCAATAAGCCATGAATCAAGTTTTCTCTTCATACCATGTTTAATCATATCTCTGTAGGAAAGCAGGTGACATGGCATGCTTTTGCTAACAAAATTTAAATAAACTGGGCAGTATCATGAGTGCAAGAATGGAGTTCCTTCATGTTGAAAATGGAAGCAGGATAAATAAATGCTTTCCCTCAGCACTTCAATACATATTTTAATTTTGTATGTTTTGAAGGAGCACTGGAATGTGTGAAGACTTAGCTACATTACACAAATATAGAGCGTTGTGCTACCATGTGAATTATGTCATGGGAAAGATTACTGCAAGGTAAAGCCATTCCTACTTTACTTACATTGATAGTGTTTCTGTGTTCATTCATATCACTCCAGTGTGACATCTTACATGTACTTTTTTGGCAATGGGAATGAGAGAAGATATTCCCGTATATATTGCTTCTGTAAGGTTTGTCACACATAGTATTATTTCACTTGTTTCATGGTGAATAGAATCAGTACAGACAGGTTGATTTCTTACTCCTACAGATTTTCTCTCTAGTGTGAGGACTTTCATGTTTGAGATCATGGAAATGAGTGAAGACTTTCCTAATACAATATTCTCCATTTTAATTTTTTATGTTTTGAAGGAGCACTGGAATGTGTGAGGAGTTAGCCACATGACACACATGTATAGCATTGTGCTACAATGTGAATTGTGTCATGTCAAAGATTACTGCAAAAGGTGAAGGCATTTCTACCTTACTTACATTGACAGTGTTTCTGAGTTCATTCATATTGTTCAAGAAGACTGGGATTTGTGAATGTTTTATCATGTTTGACATGACCCTAGTGTTTACTTACATCATGAGTTCTTTCAGGTGCATGAAGGGTACTAGAACTAAGGAAGGTTTTCCACATTGCTTACAACCACTGGGTTTGTCTTGTTTGTGTTCTTTGATGAGTATGATGGATACTGGATAGAGTGTAGGCTTTCTCTCATTCCTTACATTTACTAATGAGTGAGCTCACATTTACTAGTGTCACCGGAAATTGCTCATACCCATAGGTTTTTTTCTCTAGTCTAAGTACCTTTATGTCTTTTAAGGTAATGGGGCATGTGAACACTTTGGCTACCTTGGTTACACCCATAATGTTTGTCTTCAGTTTGAGTTCTTTCAGGGATCAAAGGTGACCGGAATAAGTGAACACATCCTCACATTGTATTGATCTATAAGGTTTCACTTCTATGTGAGTTCTTCTAAGTGCATGAAGGTGAGTGTGCTGAGTGAAGGCTTTCCCACAGTTTACATTCATAGGGTTTCTCTCCAGTGAGTTCTTTCATGAACACAAGGGGTACCAGAATCATTGTACACTTTCTCACATTACTTACATCCATGGCGTTTCTCTCCAGTGTGAGTTCTTTTATGAATACGAAGGGTACTGAAAAAAGTGTAGGCTTTGCCACATTGCTTACATTCATAGGGTTTCTCTCCAGAGTGACTTCTTTCATGGTATCGAAGGGCACTTGAATCAGTGTAGGCTTTCCCACATTGCTTACATCCATAAGGTTTCTCTCCAGTGTGAATTCTTTCATGTATTCGAAGATAACGGGCTTGAGCAAAGACTTTCCCACATTGTTTACATCCATATGGCTTTTCTCCACTGTGAGTTCTTTCATGATATCGAAGGTTACACAAACGAGTGAAGAATTTCCCACATTTGTTACATCCATATGGTTTCTCTCCAGTGTGAGTTCTTTCATGAATACGAAGGGTACTGGATAAAGTGTAGGCTTTCCCACATTGCTTACATTCATAGGGTTTCTCTCCAGTGTGAGTTCTTTCATGACATCGAAGGGCACTTGGAGCAGTGTAGGCTCTCCCACATTGCTTACATCCATAAGGTTTCTCTCCAGTGTGAATTCTTTCATGTACTCGAAGATAACGGGCCTGAGCAAAGACTTTCCCACATTGTTTACATCCATATGGTTTTTCTCCACTGTGAATTCTTTCATGATCTCGAAGGTTACTCACACGACTGAAGAATTTCCCACATTTGTTACATCCATATAGTTTCTCTCCAGTGTGAGTTCTTTCATTACTATGAAGGGAACTGGAAAAAATGTAGGCTTTATCATACTGCTTACATTCATAGGGTTTCTCTCCAGTGTGAGTTCTTTCATGAATATAAAGGGTACTTGAATCAGCATAGGCTTTCCCACATTCATTGCATCCATAGGGTTTTTCTCCACTGTGAGTTCTTTCATGAGTTTGAAGGTTATTGGCTTGACTATACACCTTGCTTACAATGTTCTCTGGAGTCTGTTGAAGGGATTCTCCACATTGAATACATTGTTTATGTTCATGCAGTCTTGCCAATACTTCAGGGCTGTAAAACAGACAAAGATTACCATTGTTACCCTATTAAAGATTTATGAGGACATGTTATGGTGGTTGATACTGTAAGGATTTATGAACACAAATGTACATATTCTGCAGCAGGGCCTGAAGACAGCTATTACCAAACAGTGGTGTTCACAATGTGTTTCCATCATACTATTTCCATGTTAGGTGTTTGACAACACTGAATGAATTTTGCTACATTCAAATACACTTAAAGAGCTTATTGAGATACCTTGGATAAAAAGCATGTTGGATTGCAAACTAAAAGAATGAATACAAGGACAAAGGTTGAAAAATGTGCCAGTCTATACCAATGCACATAATAATCCCATTGTGATGGAATTTGATACAATATAGTTAAATTAATTGTGCACAGAGTGGGATTATTTTTGTATATTGAGTAACAGGACAGTGTGTTTTGTGACTTCTTAGGAAAAAACATGAAAAATGGCACATATCAGACTTTGAATTTTCTGATTGTGGATCCTTAACTTATTTTTCGAATCTTAGAGAAACTTTTAATTGATTTAAGCAATTTATAAGTAGAAGTTTTAGTCTCATTTTTTTGGTATTCAAACTTCTTGTCAATACCACATCTGATGTTCACGGTTTTCGTTATGAGGAAAAATTACCTCATATTTCTTCTGGGATTCCTGAAGTCCTTTTCAATGTTTTCATTTTCTTCTTTTGTTTGTAAAATACAGACACAGAGAAATTATTAGTATTTAATCCATATGAAAGAAAAAGTTGAGACCTCAGCTATTTTCATGATATAATATGATCATGCATATATATGAACAGTTACTGTCCCTTTTTAAATACCCCATGAGGCAACAACACCAATGAGTCACAACAGTAGTGCACACTTTGATTAAGGTAATGATGACATATTTACCTATGTAGGACAGGTTTCTATAGGTTTCTAGCATCACTTCTCTGTAGAGCTTCTTTTGGGAAAGATCCAAACAGCTCCATTCTTCAAGGGTGAAGGTCACGGCAACATCCTCAAAGGTCAGAGTCTCCTAATATGTCACATGCACATTCGTGAGAAGAATTGTGAGTGTCAAAGGAGTGGAAACAGACAATCCCTGTGTAAAATATTCACATGCTGATGTGGTCTCCACATATTCAATGCATTTTATTTTTATCACTGTCATTCTCCATCTATATTCACAAGCACTCCATACTAATTCTGACATATCTCTGGACCTATTTGCTAAATTCAAAGCAGAACATGGTCACAAAAACACATGTTATACACTGAGATTGAAGCAATCAACTAATAAATTCCTTCCTCTTATTTCCCATTGGAGTAATATCAGGGGCAAATAGAATAATGTTTTCACTACATGAGGAAAAGTTTTATGTCTATTGGCACTGCATAACTGCTAATGAGATGAACCTCACTAAACCAAATATAAAGTGTAAAAAGGGGAGAGTGTCCTGAAGAAATTTATTCCAATAACATCCTATTGTATATATACTACTTATGATTACTTGCACATTTCTGCAAGGTTCACCACAGGGAGTCTGTAGTAAGAAAACCCACAATGCACTCATGGTTATAAATAGGAAGCTGGTGTGACAAACAGTATTTATTATCTCTTTCCAAAACAATTTTTTAATTCTTTTGGGAATTGAGCACCACCTTGGTGACTGTATCAAGAGAGAACATTGGGAAACTTCTACCTGGTTTAGAACAAACCAACCCAAATTTATAGCTAAGTAAGACTCATGAAGGATCATTCACATAGTTACAATTTTTGCTTTAGCAAGCAAAAACAATGTAGAAAGAAAAAAATGCAGCATGCATGCCTTCAAATAGATTTCAACTAGCTGTATACAATTTTGCAATTTCTAAAATACACCTTAAAACTCATAAACAAAACTACTTTTAAAGTGTAATAATTCTCATAAATTGCAAACAGGAATTAAAAATAATTGGAATAAGAAAGTGATCACTTGAACCACATGTGCAGGTCTATCTTGTAATTCCACCAGAAGGACCACAAGTTAAACATTGAAGTGATCTACATAACAAGAACCACTGTCAATAAAGGAAGAATAATAATGAAGAAGAATGGGAGAGAGCAAGGGAAAGAACACAAAGTGTCCTATTGTGTAAAATTAATAAACAGTGTTCAAACTGCATTATCAAGAACACTGTACTATAACAATGATTAACAAACAGGCTCAGAGGAAAGGGAACCAGTCTTCCCTTGACTTTAAAGTAAGAGAAAATTGATTCATGACAGAAGACACATCACACAATGGTGGCTGAGAGCACAAAATCTGGAACCCAGTTTCTCCTTGAAAACACAAATTGTATTCTCCAATGCCATGGACAATGATCCAATTCATTAGAAATAGGAAAGATAAAATCTGAATATTTTTGAAGCTATGGTGTCACATACGTGTCATTCCCAGCATTTACAAAACTAAGGTAGGACTAGCATATGTTCAGTGTGATCCTGGCATGCATCTCTAGTTCAAGAGCTATGTATGAAGTCTCTGTGTGAAAATAACACAAAAAGAAGAGCATTTGGAAATTCACTACCCAAGGAACATACAAAATTCATGTGGAATGTTAATGTATGAGAGTGGCAAAAGAAAAACAATGAGAATAAATACCTGCAATGTAAGCAAAATAAAAGGATTAGTGTACTGCATACACTAATGAATGAGAGCATGGTTGAAAAATGTACATGTGTTTTCAACATAAGACACCATGTATGAATCAAGATCTATGTCCCACATTTAGGAATTAGCTGAGTAAAATAAGTGTTCAAAATCCAAATACATAAGACAAGTGTAATGCTTGAATGGACTGGTAATTGATGCAACCTCCACCAACATTTCTTCAACTCTAGTTATGAAATAGAGTCCTGAGATTGTTTCTGACACCATGGGACATATTATGAATGATAATCAGAACTATGTTTCACATCCTGGAGAAGACATCCAGAAAAGACTCCAAAACCATGACCACTGTTTACAAAAGTGAAAATAGTGTAGTTCAATATCACATGAAATTGAGTTTGTGAAATACACTCAAAGACAACACCCAGAAGGCTTCTAGATGGAATAGGTCTAACATTTTTCCTAATTCTGAAGGGTCAAAAATAGAAGAAGACTGCTTAGTAGACAAGATGGAAAAAGTAGGGAAAGAATTAAGGTGGTATCCACCTACTCTAGCAATCTAGATACCTCGTGTGCATGTATGTGTCCTTTTACTACCATCTCCTCATGAGAAAATTCTATGCTTCTACACTTATGTTTCTCAGACAGAACATCTCAATTCAGTCCCTTGAAGTTTCTACTAAAAGAATGTAAAATGCAAAAATTCATTCTCTATGAGACAATCAAAATGTAGCTATCATTGACTCTGACTCTCACAGATATTCTTCATGTGTTCATAGGGAAATGTAAATCCAGAATAAAGTCATCAAAGTCAAAACATTGAAGAGAAAATGGTCCCATGACAGCCACAGTTATACCTTTAAAAAGTAAAGAACACCCACCAGCATTTACCTGTGGCTCACTTGACTTCAAGTACTATGCGACTTCATACTGGCAACACACATTCTCAGGGAAAACCAGACTTTGTTGAGTTCTGGTTGGTTGGTAATGAATTCTGTAACACTTGTATCCAGTTGGCTGATGAACATGTTGAATTATCTATCATCATTTTCTGCATTTTTCTCCTTTTTTTGGTTGGGTAAGGTTTTGAATTCAGGGTTTTAGGTTTGCAAAGCAGATTCTCTACCACTTGAGCTACACTTCCAGTCTTTTTGCTCTGGATATTTTTGAAGATGGGAAGCTCACGAAATATTTGTACTTCAGCAAAAACATTGAAATATGAAAATAAGAGAATCCTTGAGAAAAGACATGAATAGCATGGTGGGAGGTCAGTTTGTCAGCATGAGCAAGACCATAGGTTTCCACAAGAACTGGAAAAAACTAAACTAAATAAAATGATACAAACAAAAAATGAATGAATAAAACAAATTCAAGTGTTAATTAAACATATAAAAATAGGATTGCCTGTATTATTTTTATTGGTTTCTTCCTACTGTTATCTTCCTATTTTAAACCAACTAAACAATAACTTTCCAAAAAATGGCTATTTAATTTGCAAAGTAAAAGATGATTATAATACATGATACACAAGGAAGAATTTGTTGGACCCTGGTACCTCATACTTGTCATCCTAACTACTTGGGAGGCTAAAGTCAGTAGGATCATGGCTTGAGGTCACCCTGTTCATCTGGGATCATATCATGTATCACCTCACTAGCAAATATTCAGGAACCACTTAAAGGGGCAAAGGATAACAACCAAAGTTGTTCCAATTGTTCAAGATATTCTCAGGGTTTTAGTAATTCTATGCCAGAACTTGTGATGAAGAGCAAACACAGTTTTTTTTTAAGTATGTCACCCCAAAAAAATAACCTCTCAAGTGAGTAACTCCTTTCTTTCAGCTGGAGATCCTAAAGGTCTCTGACTTTCCAAAGGTCCATCACAACTTCCAAAATTGTCACAAATTCTATGAATGAAAATGCAAACTGAAAATATACCCAAGCAAAATAATATTGATAACACTAGTGGTTAAGACCATCACACCACCATCCTTCAGGTTCCCATTATACCTAGATGCCCAACAAGGGAACGACACATATTTGATCCTTCCATGTCCCACCTGAAATTCATCATCTTACTTGGTCAGCTGAAAAACAACCCTAACTATACAAACTACCCTAATGAAATTCTCTGCTCTTTCCAGTCAGTCTCCGATCACCCTCAGCCTGAGCCACTACACCAACCCATCCTTCAACATCACAGGAAACACAGTCTCAAAGGTAAGAATCTCTGGTCCAGGAGCTAATTTGGGCCTCTCTTTTACCCATAACCTCTCAAGTTCATTTTTACTACTTTTTGCTCCTCTTTACTACTCTTGAAAAAACAGTCCTTTGCCTGGCCTTGAGGCACCTGCACACTCTGTAGTTGGGGTTGTCCTGCCACTGAACCTCTAAGTTAATGGTTTGCCTCAAACTTCAATTCAGTTTTGAAATGGTGTCTAGGCACATGCCACAGAGAACATCAATTGTGCTCATAAACCTTTGATAAGTTTCCAATCTCAACGCACTCAATCAAAACTCAACTGCAAGTGCACCACCACTGCAGTGAGTTGTGAAATGTGAGCTCTCTGTAAATTTAGGGATTTACTAGAACCCTAAATAGCACATGTATAGGATCAGGTTATGCATTCAAGACCCTTCTTCCACATTTTTATATAACTCAGGACCATCAATTTTATTCTGAGAAGTTTGGAAGGAGCAGGGACACCAAGGATCACAGCTTCAGCTGCAGGGAAGCTACCATCACATCAACTGGGGAGAGAATCAAGGGATCCAGGATGGGTCAGGTTACTCAGAGTTACAGGACAGGATAACAGGGTCCTGCTCATTTTTGCCAACCCACACACAATAGATAGGATGGAGGGCCACAAGGCACCGCAGGCAACTCAGGGCCCAGACTCCAGCATTGTGCTGGAAAGGCCGAGGTCTCTCACCACTGCTTCAAGCAAGTCCAACTTCCTCATCCTCCTAAGACTGGAAACACTGGTCACAAACACTACTTCTACCTGCTATGGTGACTTGGGTTCTTCCCTCCAACCTAGCTGAGCTCACATATGACAGGGGAGTGAGATTGATTCCCACAGTCTCCATATCAGAAGAATTCTCAGTGATTCAGAAAATGATGGGAACCATAAAGTCATTTTCCAAAAATTAGGTGGTGATACCTCATCCCACTGGATTCTGGTAGGACAATCTAGACAGTTCTTTCCCTCCAAAGACAGTTCTTTTCATTTTTTTAATGAACCAAGGCCTTGTCATGTTAGATTTGTGTGACAGGAGAAGTGATACCCCATGTGGTATAGAGCCTGGACCAGTAACAGGTTGTAGGCACAGCTCTTAGCAGACCAGGCCTCCTCCTTGGACCTTATGGTACACAGTGTGGG